AGATTCGGCCACAGTGTCTTGATTATGCAGGGGTAACCAAAGGAGCCTATTTTAATATTTCCAGCAAAGCAAGGGGGCATGACCTGCAGCAATGGGGCTACATAAATACCAGAGGAACTTCAAAAAGAGACACAACAAATAGGTGTTCCTGGCTTTCTACCTTTAATTCTTTATGAGTCTTGATTTTAAATCACAGATAATGAAGAACTATCTGAAAAGGCTTAAAGGAATACCCGAGTCTTGGGTAGTTTATGAAAAAACGAGGTTATTGGCTCGTGGTTCTCCTGGGGATGAAGAGGCAGGCACCAGCATCTGCTTCTGGTGAGGTCCTCAGGAAGCTTCCACTCATGGCAGAGGACAAAGAGGAGTGGCATCACGTGGTGAGAGAGTATGGAAGGGAGAGAGCTGGAGAGAGTGGAGGGGGTGCCAGGCTCTTTTTAATAATCGGCTCTCCTGGGGTCTAACAGAGGGAGAACTCATCTATTACCATGAGAACAGCACCAAGGCATTCATGAGGCATCCACCCCCATGACCCAAACGCCTCCCACCAGGCTCCACCTCCAACACTGGAACCATACTTTAGCAGGAGATTTGGTGGGCCTAACAAACCATATCCAAACCACAGCATCCACAGTGTGAGCTTTCGTCTTTCAGAAATGAAGAATTGGGGCCGGGCACGGTGGCTCACACCAGTAATTCTAGCACTTTGGGAGGCTGAGGCAGTGGATCACTTGAGGTCAGGAGCTCGAGACCAGCCTGGCCAACATGGTGTAACCCGTCTCTATTAAAAGTACAAAAATTAGCAGAGCATGGTGGTATGCACCTATAGTTCCAGCTACTCTGGAGGCTGAAGTGGGAGGATCACTTAAACCTGGGAAGTGGAGATTGCAGTGAGCTGAGTTTGCACCACTGCGCTCTAGCCTGGGTGACAGAGCAAGACTCCATCAAAAGAAAGAAAGAAAGAAAGAAAGAAAGAAAGAAAGAAAGAAAGAAAGAGAGAGAGAGAGAGAGAGGGAGGGAGGGAGGGAGGGAGGGAGGGAGGGAGGGAGGGAGGGAAAGAAAGAAAGAAAGAAAGAAAGAAAGAAAGAAAGAAAGAAAGGAAGAAAGAGAAGAAAGAAAAGACGTGAAGAACTGGCTTTCTGTTGATTATTCTAAATTGTGGCCGTTGCTCATTGAAAGCCACAAATTCTGAACAGCCATGCTGTGAGCTCTTCATTTGTTTGCGGACACAGAAATTTTAGAAAGAAAATGTAGATGTTAGAGACAAAATATTGAAGGAAAGCAGCAATCGGAGCAATCTGCTTTTCCCCACCGACCTGCATATCTTCTTAGGTTATTGGTTATTACTATTTAGCCTTCATGAGAAATTACCGGGGCAACAACCAGGTATTGTCCACACGGGGGTTTGTAATCACAAGGAAAAGGTGGCAAACATGAATTTTGTTTTTGAGGCAGAGTCTTGCTACATTGCCCAAGCTGGCCTTGAACCCCTGTGCTCAAGCTGTCCTCTTGCCTCAGCCCCCTGAGTAGCTGGGTCTATAGGCATGTGCCACTATACCTAGCTCAAAGATGCATCTTAAATAATTTTAAAAGATTGTCCTTTAGGATTTGTCCAAAAGGATGCACAAGAAACTAGAATCAATGCCTACCTCTAGGGAAGGAAACTAAGGGACTGGAGGTCAAGAGTAGGAAGGAGATTTACTTTTATTGTATATCCTTTTATGTATTTTGAATCTTATATTGTGCTTTGGTACTCTACCTACTTATAAAAAACATTGGCTGGGTACAGTGGGAGGCCAAGGCACTCGAGAGGCTGAGGTGGGAGGATTGTTTGAGGCCAGGAGTTTGAAACCAGCCTGGGCAACATAATGAGACCCTGTCTCTACAAAAAATTAAAAAAAAAAAAATAGCTAGGTGTGATGGTGCTCTCCTGCCTGTGGTCCCAGCTACTTGGAGGCTGAGGTGGGTGGGTCGCTGGAGCAGGAGTTGAAGCCTGCAGTAAGCTATGATTGTGTCACTCCACTCCAGCCTGGGTGTGACAGAGTGAGGCCTTATGTCTAAAAAGCGAAAAGAAACTAATTTTTATAAAATGACAGCTTAAGAAGGCCAGAAACATCAAATCCTATTTATTTATGTTTTCTGGAATTACAGAGGCTCATTTTCCCCCAAAATGGGAAAGTGGTTTGCAGAGTGCACACCTACGTGCACGGCCCTGGGCATAGCACTGGGAGCCCGGGACTGAGGGCAGGAACGCCTGACCTTGGAGCTCTCCGGACCTGGGCAGGGCCTGCTGCTACTGTGCCTTCTACTGCTCTCAGCTGTCACACACGGGACCACACGGGGTGACCTCTGTGGCCCCTGCAGCTCAGACACTCCACGAATGTCTACGCCCATGTGTTTCACAGAGTGAAAAAGTACCTTTTGACCGGTGAGAGGAGCTGCTTCAATCGGTGTTGCCCATGAGATTTCATCTCAAAGCCTGGCTGAGGGCTTGGTTTCAGAGCTGAGCCCACCGAGGCCCACCAGCTTCTCACACCCGGGTGGTTGGCGGACTTCTTGATCAGCAAGACTCGCACGGCTGCAGCTCTCCTGGGACCTACGGGCCTGCACTTGCCAACCCACACGTGTTGAATCAGAATGTGAATATTAATTGTACCCTCTGGACCCAACACATATGGAAAATATTAACGCTTCCTTCAAATGGAATTATTTTCCCTTTAGAAACAGATTTTTAAAGAAGATGCTAGGTTCTGTGCCACCAAAAGAAAACAGTCACGTTTCCAAATGTCCATTGAGTCATTGCCCTGTAGAGGAAAAAAGAGTTTTTACTTAAGGGAAGAATAAAAACCAAGTCAGGCTTTTTCCGTCGACAGCTACGGTTGGTAGCTCTAACAAACGAGCGTGCTGTTTCCTTCAAACAAACCCAAGAACATCGGTGTCCACAGGACCCACGTGCTGTTTCGTCTTTGCAGAGCCTTCTGGGCTGAAACACAAGCCTGGTTCTTCTCCTCTGACCCTTACGAGCCTTCCAGTACATTAATTTCAAGTGTGGAAGCTGGGCCAATGCTGCCAAGGCCATACCGAGTTAAACATGTAAACACGAAGTCTCTGAGAACAGGAGGGCACGTTCTCACGGTGGCCGCGGGCTGCCTTGCTTTCCTCTGAAGTCCTTAACTGCTTAACTGATGTGCAGTGGACGTGAGGGAGTTCTCCCTAAGGGAGGGTCTTTCCAGACGACTTTGAAGGCATTTAAATTAGGAAATCTTATGCCTATGAAATTATATCTAATATTTCTGTCTCTTGTCGCCTGAAGTCCAAGAGTCTAACAAATGTAGTCCATCTATTTAGGCAACACTGGTTCCTAGGTTCTGCTCCCTGGTGCTGCGTGGGGCTGGTTTGTCCTGGTTAGACTCTCTCGTATGAAGGAAAAGGGCGAAGAGGGTTTACTGCAGCATTGATGGGGCTGGTGGGGATAAAGCTCAGGACACCTCAATTAACAGGCTCTGCAAGAGGCCGGATTTGTTACACACAGCTTCAGGATGTGGAATTCAGCCTTCCACATCCCGCCTCACAGCCCCCGAGTGACACAAGGAGAACCCCCTGGCGCTCAGGGAGGGTGGCCATGCAGAGAGCAGCTCGGGGCTAGGTTTGCCCCTGTCAACGCCGCAGACAAGGCTTGCTGGCTTACAGAGAATTGGGGGTAGCGAGAATAGGGTGCTTGAATAGTCAAGAGGAAAAATCTATTCACACATGAACACACACACCCAGACTACAGCAGGTGCTTTCTGACTGCCCTTGGCAAGAACCCCTTGGGAACCATTGAGGACTTTGGGGTCCTGAATGACCCCCTCCCACACTGCTCTCCAATTCCTCTCCTTGTAAAAAACAAATAGAGCCCCAGAAATAAAAATAAAAATAAATAGATGAGAAAAACAGCAGCTCTTTCCATCCCAGGCACTTCCATGCTCTGTGAAAGGGACTCCAGAAATCTGAGTTTTGGGGGAGCACATTTTTCTGTTTTTTTTTTTTTTTTTTTTGAGGCGGCGTCTGACTCCGTCACCAATGCTGGAGTGCAATGGCGCGATCTCGGCTCACCGCAACCCCTGCCTCCTGGGTTCAGGCAATTCTCCTGCCTCAGCCTCCTGAGTAGCTGGGACTACAGGCACGCGCCACCGTGCCCAGCTAATTTTTTGTATTTTTAGTAGAGACGGGGTTTCACCATGTTGACCAGGATGGTCTTGATCTCTTGACCTCGCGATCCACCTGCCTCGGCCTCCCAAAGTGCTGGGATTACAGGCGTGAGCCACCGTACCTGGCCCCAGGCTAATTTATTTTTATTTTTTATTTTTAGTAGAGACAGAATTTTGCTATGTTGAGGCTGGTCTTGAACTCCTGACCTCCTGATCCACCCACCTCGGCCTTCCAAAGTGCTGGAATTACTGGCGTGAGCCACTGCGCCTGGCCCTTCTGTTTTTTTTTCCATGCTGCTGTGGAAGTAGTCCCTTTTCTCTCCCAAGCTGAGGCATAGGTCCATTTTCCCACAGATCCGATTTGTATGCTAGGGTAGGGAGCAAAGCAAAGCATGTCTTGTGTATCGAGAGTTATCTTGCTGTGCTAAATTTGCTGATGGTGTGCACAGCATGAGCTATAAATTATGCACTAATTATATGGCTGACTTCATTATCTCTCCTCTGAAGATATGCAGTCTGTCCCAAACAATTAGCACTGAATTATTTTCCCATATTGTTTCCTAATTGTTCCATATGTTGGTTTTTACTCTTCAGCCAGACTACACGCCTCTGGAAGGCAGAGAGGGGGACTCAAACTTCTTTGAACTCACAACATGGCAATATTTCTGGTCCTAATACTGTCACTGGCAAGGATGGTGTTTTAAGGAAGAGATAATAGTGTTTAAGTATTAAATAATCTGAATTCTTTGGGTGAAGGCTAAGCAAAGCCGAAATAGGTATAAGAAGAAAAAAAAACCTGCATGATGTTTAGTGTTGGAAACAGATGCTTGGTGCTGCAGAGAAAAATTAGCACTGAGACAAAGGATCTTTCAGCAACACAATTTTTACTTCCTGGACTTCAGGAAGGGTACCCTCACTAGTCATTTTGCCACAAGAGTACAATGAACAAAGGAAAACAGACATATTTATCCCTTATGCGTTTGGGGTTGTTCTTACTGCTGTGTCTGATCTCCATTGGCTGGAGCCAGACCTCACAATCTATACTAAAACCTGATTGGCTACCAACTTAAAACTTTTCTTTTTTGAGATGGAGTTTTGCTCTTGTTGCCCAGGCTGGAGTGTAATGGCAAGACCTTGGCTCACTGCAACCTATGCCTCCCGGGTTCAAGTGATTCTCCTGTCTCAGCCTCCCAAGTAGTTGGGATTATAAGCATGCGCCACCACACCCGGCTAATTTTTTGTATTTTTAGTAGAGACGAGGTTTCCCCATGTTGGTCAGGCTGGTCTTGAACTCCTGACCTAGTGATCAGCCCACCTTGGCCTCCCAAAGTGCTGAGATTACAGGTGTGAGCCACCGCACCTGACCAAAACTTTTCTAAACAGGTAAAAGCAATGGAGAGCTGGGACATGCCTGCGAGCACGTCCAGCACAGATACCTAAGTACAAGGACGTAGAATATACTACATGCCTGTAAACATGGCATTCTAACAGCTACACAGGATAGGGCTTAACAAAGAGTTAACAGCACACTTATTCTTTAACAAGAAAGGAAAGTGTAAAGAGGAACTTTTCGGGGTCCAAAGTGACTCCCGCCGGATGTCGTGGTGCTTGCGAAGGCGAGGTCATGAGTTCAAGGCTAACCTGAGTAACCTTACAAACTCACACTGATTGGCAAAAAAAAAAAAAGAGGAACTTTTCTACTTCTCACATTTAGTTAATTTGTTCCTCATCCGAGTTGCCAGAAAGCAGGGATTACGTCTGTCCCTTGCACTGTTACATCCCAGCACTCAGCCCACCCTTTCACAAGCAACACACACTAACAATTATTTTTAATGAATGAGTTAATGAATACATTTCTTGAGCTTCAGCTATGTCTCGGTCTTGTGCTAAGTGAAGATACAAATAGTCTCTCTTCAGAAGCTTTCAGTCTGGGGAAGAGAAAGAAAGGCAGAATTGAAAACAATTTTGATAAAAGTTGAAAGATGGACCCTGGGTATGGTGGCTCACACCTGTAATTCCAGCACTTTGGGAGCTGATGCGGGCAGATCACTTGAGGTCAGGAGTTTGAGACCAGCGTGGCCAGCATGGTGAAACTCCATCTCTACTCAAAATACAAAAATTAGCTGGGTGTCGTGGCAGTTGCCTGTAAGCCCAGCTACTTGGGGGCTGAGGCATGAGAATTGCTTGAACCTGGGAGGCAGAGGTTGCAGTGAGCTGAGATCGTGCCATTGCATTCTAGTCTGGGCAACAAGAGCGAAACTCTCTCAAAATAAATAAAATAAAAAATGCTATTAGAATTCCATTTAAAGTGCTTTGGAATCAAAGAAGAAAGCTGCTGACCATTTAGGGGAGTCAGTAAAACTTCATGTTTAAAAACACAGGCACAAACGCATTGGATGGATTTTGAAGGAAAACTAAGCATTTGCCAGCGGGAAGACATGAAGACGTTCTAGGCAGAGGGAGCCGTTGGAGCCAGGTCAGAGAGTTGTGAAAGGCTGCATTTTCTGGGAAACCTACAGCTGCCCTGAAGTCTAATGGATAAGGCGTTCTGAGGCAGGTGGATGAAGTAAGTCAAATAAGTTGGGGCTTATTTATGAGGGTTTTAGGATTGACACTTGAGACAATGGGACCAGTGAAAGTTTTTAGCAGGGAATTGATGTGAATAGATTTGGATTTGGAGAAATCACTGTGGACAGCGTGGCGAGTGGACTGGAATGGGAGAAACTGGAGTTACCCACTTCAAGGTGATCATGGCACTTTAGATTAGAGTCATGGAATGGAGGATGGAGGGAAGTGGACTAATTTGAAAGCTATTCAGAAAGTAGAGTCATGGGAAGACCAAGTGACTAATCGGATGTAGGGAGGTGGAAGGTAGGAAGACAGGAGTCCAGAATAATTTTTAGTTTCTAGAGTAAGTTAATGAAGAACCCAGAATAAGCAGCAGGATTGTTGTGAGGGGGAAAGAAGTTTTCATTTTTGACTGCAATGAAAACCTCTTGCAAAAGCAGCCTCTTCTCTGACTGAGCTGACTTGGGATATGTTGTTCTTGTTAAGACTGCAGGGGAGTTCCCCACTTTGTGGACAGGGAAGAGAGGTTTCCCTAAGGAGGTCAGGATCGGATATGAGTCACGGGGCAGCCATTTTGGAAGGAAGACATTTGTCAACCAGGAAGCTGTAATTCAAAATGTGGACTTAAGCAAGAGGAAACACCCAGCTCTCCCTTGGATCCAGGTTTCAAGAAGCACTCACCAGATAACTGCATGTATCAGATTGCAGGTAAATTGCAGTCTATAAGACTCAGAGAAGAACATGTTTTATGAGCAAAATAATGTAGTTATATGTTGTCACGTGCTTGTTGAAATTTTTCTTAGTCTTGAGCAGAGTCTATAAAAATACTTTAGTCTTATTATAACTGTGCTATTATGTCTTCTAGAACATAAAATGAATAGTATAATTCTTCTTTCCTTTAAGCCACTGAGAAACAGCAACATTTAGAGATCTCTACAGCATAGATGAATTTGGGATGAAGCCTCTCTTTTGTAGAGATTCGCTCACCATCACCAACATTAAAAGATGAGGCTTTCTTTTGTTAAGGTAGGCATATATGTTCTTAAGATATGTTGTTTGAGATGACAAGACTCTGTCATTCAGAATGTCTGCTAGCAAATACCATCTCCCGCCTGCCCTCAACTAAAAAGAAATAAAACATCTACATCACTTAACTTATGTTGCCCATTTCAAATACTGATAAGCTTGTAGAAAATGGATTGTTCTAAATGGATGCCTAGAACTTATTTGTCCTAACTGGAACCTTGTACTCTGTCACCGCCATCTCTCCATCTTCTCCCCTTACCCCTAGCCGCTAGCAACCACTGTTCTACTCTCTACTTCTATGAGTTCAATTTCTTTAGATTCCACATGTAAGTGAGATCATGCAGTATTTGTGTTTCTGTGCCTAGCATAATAACCTCCAGGTTCATTCATGTTGTCACAAATGACAGGGTATCTTTCTTTTTTATGGCTGAATAGTATTCCATTGTATATATACACCGAATTTTGTTTATTCACTCATCCATTCATGGACACATAGGTTGATTCAATATCTTAGCCATTGTGAAAATGCTGCAATGTACATGAGAATGTAGAGTTCTGATTTCATTTCCTTTGGATATATATACATAGTGAGATTGCTAGATCATATGGTAGTTCTATTTTTAGTTTTGTAAGGAACTTCCATATTGTTTTCCATATGGCTATACTAATTTACATTCCCACTTACAGTGTAGAAGGCTTCCCTTTTCTCCACATTCTTGCCAACACTTATCTTTCATCTTTTTGAGGATAACCATTCTAATTGTGTGAGATAATACCTCATAGTGGTTTTGATTGGCGTTTCCTTGATGATTATGAAACCAACCCAATAGTCCCTTAGATAATTTTTTGGATAAATGTAGAAATTTACCATTCTGGTCTTAAAGTTAGACCCTTACATTTGTTTTATCTGAGTTCCTTCCTCTGAAAACCACTTTCAGGCCTCTTGAAAAAAAAAAATAGCAAAGAATACCAGATCACCACATCCAGACAATGAGATGTGGAACCCCTCATTCAACATGATTACTTCCTCCCCCCCCAGTTCCTGTTTTTTTAAACATTGTTACATTTCTTCCCTGTTATATAAACCCCTAGTTTTAGCCAGTGAGGGAGAAGGATTTGAGACTGAGCTCCCATCTCTTTGACTGCAGCACCCAATCAAAGTTTCTCCCTTGGCAATACTTGTTGTCTCAGTGATTGGCTTTCTGTGCAGTGAGCAGCAGGACCCAGTCCAAACCCCTGGTGTTATGGCAACAATTATTGATGCTCACCACTTTTCTGTATACCTGTTAGCTATTTCTGTCTTCTTGGGGGAATGTCTATTTGGGTCCTTTGCCTATCTTTAAAATCAGGGGTTTAAAAAAAATTTTTTTTTCTATTGAGTCGTTTGAGTTCCCCATATATTTTGGGTAGTAACCCCCTTATCAGATGCATGGTTTGCAAATATTTTCTCCCATTTCATGTGCCTTTTCATTTTGTTGATTGTGCAGAGGCTTTTCAGTCGGATGCAATCCTTAAAATGGGTATCAGTCTTGATTTCAGCAATATTTGTGAGCCTCTCTATGTGATGGGTAGCTCTGCCTGGGTCAGCTGACCCAGTCACTGTATTTTCTAGCAGAACCCTGGCCAGCTCACTGGAAGGAAAAGCAGACTCCTTGAGTGTGGCTTCTGGAAGTTTCCTCATTTGTTTACTTGTGTTAATGTGTGACAGCTTAGTTTCTTGAGTTGCTTTTAAATTAAATTTATTTTAAATAAATTTAATTTAATTTCCACATTTAATCGAGAGTTTGTGTAAACTAACTATAAAAAGTTCACATCGGCCAGGTACAGTGGCTCACACCTGTAATCCCAGCACTTTGGGAGGCTGAGGCGGGAAGATCACCTGAGGTCAGGAGTTCAAGACCAGCCTGACCAACATGGTGAAACCCTGTCTCTACTAAAAATACAAAAAGTTAGCTGGGTGTGGTGGCACATGCCTGTAATCCCAGCTACCCAAGAGGCTGAGGCAGGAGAATTGCTTGAACCCAGGAGGCAGAGGTTGCAGTGAGCCGAGATCTCGCCACTGCACTCCAGCTTGGGTGATAGAACAAGATTCTGTCTCAAAAAAAAAGAGTTCACATCAATTTTACTCAACACTATGATTCATGTTGTTCAATCTGAATGTTATTTTTATGCATTTTGATGAGTTTATTATAATGGCTCATTTACAGGAGGCTTTAAAATGGACTCAAGTGAAGTATGGCTTCTTCAGTTTGCCTATTTGTATTGTTTCATGTTTGTCTTACCAAGTAAGTGGGTTTATTAGAACCAGAGATTCCAGAACGGGAGACTCTCATCAAAATTTATAAGCAGGGAGCAGTGAACAGAGGGGATTCCCTTTTGTAAGAAATTTTCCGCTCCTTAACATTCTTGATAACAGTATTAAGAATTAATGCCAGGTGCAGTGGCTCATGCCTGGAATCCCAGCACTTTGGGAGGCCAAGGCGGGCGGATCATGAGGTCAGGAGATTGAGACCATCCTGGCTAACACAGTGAAACCCCATCTCTACTAAAAATACAAAAAAAATTAGCTGGGCATGGTGGTACGTGCCTGTAGTCCCAGCTACTCAGGAGGCTGAGGCAGAGAATTGCTTGAACCCAGGAGGTGGAGGTTGCAGTGAGCCAAGATCAAGACACTACACTCCAGTCTGGGCGACAGAGTGACAAAGCAAGATTCCGTCAAAAACAAACAAACAAAAAACAAAAAAAAAAACCCACTTCATTGCTTCTCGGCCTTTTGGCTAAGATCAAGTGAAGAATTAAAATATCTTTCAATTTTCTGATAGACAAGCTTCTAATAAGCACCTTATATTTATGCTCCAGTTGGGTGTATCATAAAGACCACACATATGTCTTTTCATAGAACTATAAACTGGTAATTTCTGAAAATCATAAAGAAAGACAATCTTTATGATTTTCAGGGCCAGGCATGGTGGCTCATGCTTGTAATCCCAGCACTGCTGGAGGCTGAGGCAGGGGGATCACTTGAGCTCAGGAGCTTGAGACCAGCCTGGGCAACATAGTGAGACCTCGTCTCTGAAAAAAAAAAAGGCAGTGTAAATATTATTATGTATTGAAGGATCACAGTATAGTGCTTTGCTGTTGATGATTGGAAAGGAAAATACCGCCTCTCTGCGCTCTACCACCCGCCGCTGTCTGTATTCCTAAGCCCAGGCTGGAGCTCCTCTCAGGGTACTTCTCCCCATCACGACTGGCTCTTTTCTGTTCTGGCAGATGCTTTTCTCATTGACTGGTTGACCCAGAGGTGGTGCTGTAGTATCTCTCACAGTTTCTCTATTCCTCAGCCACACTTCTGTAAATGGCCTTTTTATTAACTCATGTCAACTTACCCTCATCTGAGCATGTCCTCTTTTCTCCTGTTGGGTCACTGTTTGACACATAAGGTTTAAGTAACCAAGAGGAAATGACTTCTGTAAATAAGAAAAGATTTTATTAAATGCTGTGCAATATGCAGACTTTCTTTAAAACATTAGGCAATACAGTAACAAAAAGATGGAAAACAGGAGAAAGAAAGAGTGGAGTTGGGGAAGAGAAGTAAAGAAAGAGGGGAAAGGGCCGGGCCTGGTGGCTAACGCCTGTAATCCCAGCACTTTGGGAGGCTGAGGCAGGCGGATCACCTGAGGTCAGGAGTTCGAGACCAGCCTGGCCAACATGGTGAAACCCCGTCTCTACTGACAATGCAAAAAATTAGCTAGACATGGATGGTGGTGGGTGCCTGTAATCCCAGCTACTTGGGAAGCCAAGGCACGAGAATTGCTTGAACCTGGGAGGTGGAGGTTACAGTGAGCCGAGATCGTGCCACTGCACTCTGGCCTGGGTGACAGATTACGACTATCTAAAGAAAAAAAAAAGAAGAAGAAGAAAAAGAAAGAAAGGAAGAAAGAAGGGGAGGAGGAGGAGAAGAAGGAAGGAAAGAAGGAAGGAAGAGGAAGGAAGGAAGAAGGGAAGGGTAAACGAATATTACAAGTCTTGGCTTTTTCAGCACTGGAGGGATTCTGAAGTCCTAAAGCAGCTGACAGAGGTGAAGGTCATCAGATACAGAAGACATCCTGAGGCCAGCTCCCATCCACTGACTGCCCTCTGCAGCCTGGATTCCTGCCTCAGCTTATACCTGCGGAAGGTAGGACAACCGTTACAAAGGTGAGGTACCAACCTGGCCACTACCTTGGTGTCAGACTTGATCACAGGGACCATCTTCTAAGACAAACAGTCACTTCTTGAGACACTATTTAGGGGAGGAAGGGGGAAGAATTTCTCCCAGACTTTGTGCCTGTGGGAAGTTGGTAGGAATTCACGCAGAGCTGAGGGCTGCAGTGATGGTCTAGCCGGAGGCCCCAGATCAAGAAAGGCCAAGAGTCCTGAACAGGGCCCTGCCCTAGTGCCGTCGGGTACGTGAACACAAGTCCTCACAGTAACCCTCTGAATCAGCCAGGCGTGATGGTGCACACCTGTGGTCTCAGCAGCTCAGGAGGCTGAGGCAGGAGGATGGCTTGAGCCCAGGAATTTGAGGCTGCAGTGAGCTGTGATTGTGCCACTGTGCTCCAGCCTGGGCAACAGAGCAAGACCTTGTCTCTAAAAAATATTGATAATAATAATAGTAAACGTTTGAGCAGACATAAGACTCCAGGTACGAGTAATACAGATGCGCTTGGGAAGGGAAAGGGCGTTTCTGGGCACACTGCCCAGGCGTCAGAAAGGGACAGGGTGCTGCAGACTCAGGGCCGACAGGAACCCCACACCTGAAGGACAGCAGCACCCTGTGCCTCGCCGCATTCTCTCAGAGTCGCTTCCCCCCGACCTTCGAACCAGGATCCCTGGTAGCTCTGCGTCTCCCATCAGAAACTAGAAACGAAAGGTTTCTCCTTCCCTTAGCTGAAAGCATCCCAGGCAAGGGCCCTGGCCTCGCTCTTGGTCAGGTGGCCCCGCCTTGGCCACTCAGGGTAGCTGGGGGGCCGCCCCGTGCCTGGAGCCTCCTGGGCTGAGCCTGCCCTGCAGCTGAGGGTGGGCCTGCCCACTCAGTGCTCACCGGACTCTGAGTTGTTCAGTGTCACTAAATAGTGAGGTCAGAGGTTCCATTCATCTCCATTCCCAGAAATAAGAGGAATGCTTACACCAAGAAGAACCGCAGCTGCGGCAGGCCCTCCAATAAGCCGGTGGTGCTGATGAGAGGAGCTCGCTTCCCTCTGGGCTCCGTCGGGGGGTCTGCCTGCTCCTCTCACTCCTGCGGGGGTTTTCTCCTGGGATTCTGGGTTCCTCCCGTGTCCCTAAGCTGTGCCCATTAGCTGAACTGGCATGTCTCCGTGGTCTCAGTGTGGGTGTGTGTGGTTGAGTGTGGGTGAGCATGGGTGAAAGTGAGCATGGGTGAGTGTGAGTGGATGTGGGTGAGTAGGGGTGAGTGTGTGAGGGTGAGGGTGGGTGAGGGTGGGTGAGTGAGGGTGAGTATGGATGAGTGAGGGTGATTGTGGGTGAGGGTGTGGGTGTGTGGGTGAGGGTGAGTGTGGATGAGGGTGAGTGTGGGTGAGGGTGAGTGAGGGTGAGTGTGGGTGGGTGTGGATGAGGGTGAGTGTGGGTGAGTGTGGATGAGGGTGAGTGTGGGTGAGGGTGAGTGTGGATGAGGGTGAGTGTGGGTAAGTGAGGGTGAGTGAGGGTGAGTGTGGGTGAGTGTGGGTGAGTGAGGGTGAGTGTGGGTGAGTGAGGGGTGTGGGTGAGTGTGGGTGAGTGAGGGTGAGTGTGGGTGAGTGAGGGTGAGTGTGGATGAGGGTGAGTGTGAGTGAGTGAGGGTGAGTGAGGGTGAGTGTGGATGAGGGTGAGTGTGGGTAAGTGAGGGTGAGTGTGGGTGAGTAAGGGTGAGTGTGGGTGAGTGAGGGTGAGTGTGGATGAGGGTGAGTGTGGGTGAGTGAGGGTGAGTGAGGGTGAGTGTGGATGAGGGTGAGTGTGGGTGAGTGAGGGTGAGTGTGGATGAGGGTGAGTGTGGGTGAGTGAGGGTGAGTGTGGGTGAGGGTGAGTGTGGGTGAGTGAGGGTGAGTGGGTGAGTGAGGGTGAGTGTGGGTGAGGGTGAGTGTGGGTGAGTGAGGGTGAGTGTGGGTGAGTGTGGGTGAGTGAGGGTGAGTGTGGATGAGGGTGAGTGTGGGTGAGTGAGGGAGTGTGGGTGTGTGGGTGAGTCAAGGAGTGTGGGTGAGGGTGTGTGGATGAGTGAGGGTGAATGTGGGTGAGTGAGGGTGTGGGTGAGTGTGAGTGTGGGGTGAGTAGGGGTGAGTGTGTGGGTGAGGGTGAGTGTGAATGAGTGAGGGTGTGGGTGAGGGTGAGTGTGGGTGTGAATGTGGGTGAGTGAGAGGGTGGGCGAGTGTGGGTCTCCCTGCAATGGGAGGGCGTCCTCACCGAAGCAGGTCCCACCTGGCATCCTGAACTACTGGGATGCCCCCTGTTACTCTGCTCCCATCCCTTTCCCCACCACCTGGACCTAGAACAAGGGTATAAAAACTGATCTTGTTTTAAGTAATCTTTCTTGAATATTGGTATGGCTCACATTTATTTCAGTGTGTAACATGAGGAGTGTTTTGGCCTTTATTTAGTACTCTGATGATATTTTTGTGATGGGAAATTATGCCCTACGAGCTTAACTCAGGTGTATGTCAATTAGCCTATGAGAAAGTAGGTTTTGTTATATGTCGTTTTGCTTAAAGCTGTAGTTTCCAAGAACCCAATGATGGTGTCAGTGAAGATTTACTGCATTGTGTTTACACATGTAGCCAGAATCAACCGTCTCCCTTGCCCAGAAGTGTATTACAGGGAAGATATTTTGCACTATTTTGTCTTCGTCATTCACATGCAAGCAGTGGCCAAGTCTTGTCCGCTTTTGTCTCCCAAATGTCTCTTGAGCCCTCCCTCTTCCTCCTCCCATCGCTGCACCACGGTCCACGCACTGTCGGCTGCCGTTTGCCATCACCGTCGGGTCTCCTTACCTCTCCCACCCCGTCCACCCTGCACTCCCCTGGAGTTACCATGGTAAAACAAACCTGACTAAACCATTCTGTTCAGAGGTCGCTGGTGGCCCCCTCTTTCTTCTGCATTTAGTATCAACTCTGAAGCTTCCCCAGAGAGGACGAATGAGAGAATTTGACTTTTCCTGAAAGAGTCTCTCTAGTACTTTGTAGTAAAAATACTCTTCCATTTATATAAACTCCCTCAGGGTGGCCGGGCTCGGCAGCTCACACCTGTAATCCAGCACTTTGTGGGGCTGAGAAGGGAGGGTCATTTGAGGCCAGGAATTTGAGACCAACCTGGGCAACATAGCAAGACCTTCTTTCTACAAAAAGTTTAAAAATTAGCTGGGTGTGGTGGTGAGAGCCTATATCCCATGGTTACCTGGGAGGCTGAGGTGGAAGGACTGCTTGAACCCAGAGGCTGCAGTCAGCTATGCTAATGCCACGGCACCCCAGCCTGGGGGACAGAATGAGATCCTGTCTCCAAAAAATAAAAATAAAAACAAAATCCCCGCAACCCTCTGAAGCTGTTTATCATATTCGATTATGTGTTTTGGTTTGCCTGTGCTAGTTTTCTCCACCAGATAGACACTTGCTCGAATGAGTAGAAACGCTTTCTTATTATTGAATCGGTAGTTCTCCTCGTGTACTGGCAACACACACTCAATAACTGCCAAATAAATAATTAGCATTTAGCCTTTTCTTTTATTCCCTAGTCTCTAGAGTGGGGAAAGAAAGAAGAAAGGGGAAAAACAACAGAAAGATAAACAGAAGGGAGGGAAAAAAATTCAAACTTTCCTGTAATGCCCATCTCTTGTATGAAATCGATTTCGGAATGGGTGAAGATATAAACAAGTGCGTCCACAAAGTAATTACATCTCCTGTTAGTAACACCCATTCTTGTCTCCAGGCGATAATCTGCCCTGATGTTTGTGGTTTGTCTTTGATTCCAAAACACGGTGTTATTAAAATGAGGCTATTGGAAAAGGTGTGAGGGTCAATTCAAAAAACTCGATGATGGAAGTAGTGCATTAAGCTGTGTGTGTCAACAGCCTTTCAAATTACAGGTGTCCTTGGCATCCTCAGGGGATTGGTCCCAGGACCCTCAAGAATACCCAAATCCTTTTGTATCCTTATGCCCCTGATATAAAATGCCATGGTATTTGCATATAACCTATACACATTCTTTCCTATACTTTTAAAATTTTATTTTATTTTTTATTTTTTGAAACCGAGTCCCACTGTTGCCCAGCCTGGAGGGCAATGTCAGGATCTCGACTCACTGCAACCTCTGCCTCCCAGGTTCAAGCGATTCTCCTGCCCCTCCGAGTAACTGGGACTACAGGCCTGTGCCTCCACACCTGGCTAATTTTTGTATTTTACTTTATTATTATTATTTAGGGACAGAGTCTTGCTTTGTCACCCAGGCTGGAGTGCAGTGGCACGATCTCAGCTCACTGCAACCTCTGCCTTCTGGGTTCAAGCGATTCTCCTGTCTCAGCCTCCAGAGTAGCTGGGATTACAGGCACACAACCCCACGCCTGGGAACTTTTTGTATTTTTTAGTGGAGACGGGATTTCACAATGTTGGCCAGGCTGGTCTTGAACACCTCACCTCAGGTGATCCGCCCACCTCAGCCTCCCAAAGTGCTGGGATTACAGACGTGAGCCACCGTGCCTGGCCTAATTTTTCTATTTTTAGTAGAGATGGGTTTCACCTTGTTGGCCAGGTTGGTCTCAAACCCCGTCTTCAGGAGATACACCCATCTCAGCCTCCCAAAGTGCTGGGATTACAGGCATGAGCCGCCGTGCCTGGACCTTTTCTATACTTTAAATCATCTCTAGATTACTCATAGTACCTAATACAATGTAAATGCTATGTAAATAGTTACACTGTATTGTTTTTAAATTTGTATTATTTTTATTGTTCTTTTTCAAATATTTTTTGTCTGTGGCTAGTTGAATCTGAAGATGAGAAACTCAAGAATATGGAGGGCTGACTGCACTGACAAAACCCAGTGGAACCCCCTGGAAGATTTTCTGGTAGATAGTCTCATCATTTGCTGTTGCTCAGTCCTCCTCCGTATCAGAGAGAGTTAGACATCCCTGTCCACAGCAGGTGACTTCAC